TACTCGATAGGAGATTTCCAGTTGTCATTTGATTCGACATAGCAAAATTATACAATTAAAAATTCAATATCAAATATCGAATAAGGTATCGACACATGAAATATAGACATAAAATAGTTCTGTCCCTTAATTTGCGTAAGATATATCTTTATATTAGTTGCAAAGTTGAATATTTGTTGAGAAAATATTCTCAAGTGTAAAGGGTTAATATTTTATTTATTATTGTATTTAACCCAGATCCAACGCACATGCAATACAAACTGATTTACTACTTCAAAATCTGATAACATATTAAAACTGTGACAGGCAACCATACATACACCCTTATTTTGAGTCTATTTCCACTACCTACTACCACTATTTTATTCGAAATAATGTAGTGACTGGTAGTACATTGAATGGCGGTTCATTGTTAAAAGATATGTGACCTTAACATTATTTCTACCGCAGAGAAATTTTCAGTTAAAATTATTTTCCAGGTTTAGTCGTCCATTCCAACTTGATTTTTCGACTTATGCGATGACAACTATATAATTAACTATTGGAAATGTCCAAAATACAATTGTGGGAAAATTATTTTCCAAGTTTAGTTTTATATTTCAATTTGATTTTTCGATTTGTCCAATAACGCCTATAAAATTAATTATAGGAAATGTCAAAAATTCAATTGGGGAGAAAAAGATGTCTGTTGACACCTTCGGTAGAAATAGTGTTAATTTTGTACAAAAATTCTGTCTGAAAGGGTTAAAAATAAAAGTAGTCCGTATAATACGTAAGCACAATTTATTTTTCGATATTACGTTGACCTTACATGTATCACGACCTAGAATTCCGTGCAAACTGGCGTTTAGGGGTCATGGCTATACCGGTTACCGAAACGGAGCCAATTGCGACACGCCGTTCGAGAACGAAGCTGTGTTCTCTCACCATTTTCCTTTTGTATCTCCGGCGAAGAACATCGCTTTCTCCGTTTGCCGATGAGAAAGTCTTTTCCGTGAAACGTTCGAACGGATCAGGCTCGTATATGTAGACTGTGGTGAAACACGATCGATACGCTATCAAAGCAATAATGTCTGTGGGTGCGACGCAAAACGCGAGTTAATTATTGATTTCGGTTTCGAGCTGTCGCGGTTTCAAGGTTTCAAGTATTAATACGTTCATACTGGCATGTGTCACTGGTGGTACACAGTTAATTTATAGCATTAAAATCAATCAACGGTATTAAATAAGTTATTTATTAAATTGTTTATTAATGTTCAACTGCACGTCATTTTTTCAAATATTGCTATTATTAAAATGTATTATTAAATATATAAGAATATGTTGCGACGTGATTTGACGCAGGAAAATTACAAAGACTGAAATTTCGTGTTAAACCCTTGTCCTACGATTTATTTGTAAACTATGATCGATAGAACGACTTGGTCATTAATAGTTTGTTAAGAAAAAGAATAAAACGATAAGCATATTCTATATCAATCTTTACTCCAAAGTATAATAATTGATAAAGAATAATATTTAACTTGAATGCAGAAGAATCGAGTAATATTCATGCTTATAAATTCTGTTTAGAATCTTCCCCACGAGTCAGACACATTATTGTAAGGCAAGGGGCTAAGCTTTTCATAATGCATCAATGCGTGATGTATTGAAACGAAATAGCTTTATTCTTTAATTTATGTGTGGTTTCTTGGCAAATTTGTTTCCAGAAATGTGGTCTGCATCTCATCAGAAGACGTTGAATATTTCTAATAAGAAGCTTTCGAGTACAAAGGGTTAAACCTGTAAATGAATAATTGAATTGCCCGAGTAACGAGAATTTTATTATTTTGTTAAAAACAGAAGTTTTATTGAATGTTTGATATGTGATATTTAGTTCTATAGTACAGATCGAATTAAGGAATAAGTAATAAAGATTTTTAGAATTGTTTTCTTTACAACAAACGTTCATGGAATTACAATATCGCACGGTGATTAAGAAGAAGAATTCAGGTAACAATTAAATAGACGGAAACAGTGTTTTTCTCTTATCTAGCTCAAAAATTGTCAATCATTCCGAGTGGCTGAATAATACAAATTTATTTTATACTTTAAATCAGACTGAATCGAAAAAGAAACTACAACTATGAATAACAACTATCCGACAAAAATGTTAAGCCGCTAAGTAGATTCTTAAATGAAACATTTGAAAACCTTATATTCCAATGAACTGTACTAATTTAAAGTGGTGAAGTTTATTTTAAAAGAAATCCATTTTACATAATGGATTGTATTAATTTCAAATGGTTAAGATTATTTTTATAGAAAACGTTTGAAAACCTTATATTCCAGTGGACTGTACTAATTAAAGCACGATCACGTTCTCGAGTGACCAACGAAAAGATTCACTCGTCTTACATTACAACCACTTTTTATCATTTATACAACTGTTGCTTGAAAAGCGTGCGGTTCACGCTTTCAAATTTTCATTCGATGGTTCGTGCGTGTCGTGGATTGCAGCCGTTCTGACAGAAAATAACGGTGCACCGCGGAAAGATTGAAATATCGTTTACCCACTGGTATTTTGCAATTGCACAGGAAATTACCCGAGGCGTCCGAGGATATTTTCGAAAGGTGTAATTACGTTTGCGTAAGTTACGCACGCACGGGACCGCGAGCGGCGTGCACTCGGTGACGCGCGTTATATTTACGTTTGACATTTCATTTTACGATCCGTCTTCCTTCGTAATCACGATCGCTTCTCCGCCTATTACGCGTGAAATGCGACTGTTTCTCGTTCCTTTTTATGAACTCTGACGCGCCCGTTTGCAAGTGTCAATGACTTAGACATTCGGTGACGGCTTGTGCATAAATAATGAATAATGAGTGAATGAATATTGTGAATGAGAAATTAATGTTTCTGTTTCATTGTAAATTTATATGTATTATATAATACATAATAATAACAACAACAATAATAATAACAATACATTATAATTATAATATAATAACAGTAATAATAATTATTAGTATCATAATTATGTCGCAAGAATATATACAGCAAGAACTATGATAGAAAATATTTCTGGAATTAATTGTAGAACGACCTTAAGAAATAACTAAGAATATATATTATATATTATAATACTATAATTATAATAATTAGAAGTAATAATATATATAATATAAAATATATAATACGTTATTCTTATTTCTAATTATTTCTTACCTCTTCCTTCAGTCAACTCCTGAGCATTCTCTATCATAGTTTTTGCTGTATGTATTCTTGCGACACGTCGTTGAAACAATTTTCTATCAAGTTTCTAAAAAAACAAAAACCAATGAAACATTTACACATGGAATGCCTACGCGACCAATGATGAAAAGCCGCACGATCTTTCCCGGTTGTTTAACGCGTCGGACGACGTGGGCGTCACTGATTACCGGAACTATAAAATAATAAACGACAAATGTTCATAAACTTTTTAATGTTATTAATGATACAACGGAAAGCCACAACATTCAGCAAGACGAACGTGCGAAGAATGACAACATAACTCAATTAAATGACTCCGTGTAACATTACAAGGCAGTTAGAAAACATGTCTTTATTTCTTCATATCTTGCTTTATAATATTCGACGTTCAACATTCTTCAGTTTCCCGTCATCTCCTTTTACGATCACGCGCGTTCGAACTTTGGAATGTCAGAATTATTATAACTTGAATTATTTATTATAATCAATGGATTATCATAACCAATTTTATTGAGAACATTTCTGTCCTATCTTTTACAATATTTTATCTGGTCTCTGCCAAGTGATCTCGAAAAGGGTCCGTTTTAAAATTACATCTAATTTCTTTGAAGTGAAACAGTTTTTCATTTTAATGTACATATTTTTTTTAACTAAAATTAATTATTCGTGACTTTCATGATTTTTTTCTTATTCTTTAACGAGCCTTACTTTAAACATATGACTTCGTATTATATTTTGTTTTCCGTCGTGAATTTCATTTAAGTTTAAATTATAAGAAATGTTCGGTCAACCGGTTTTTTATACTTGTCTTAGTTTTAGAAATGAAAATAATCGAAGTCTTTTTAGATCTACGTTCTTTTGTATGATCTGTAGACAATGAAGAATAAGAAAATCGTATGGAACGAGTTAAAAGAAAAACAAGATTGAATTTCGTATGCGTTAACCTAATAACACCATTGCTTGCCGGCGAGCAGTTTCTCTTGACGAAAAACGGGGCGCTTTCTCAGATGTTATAAACGATTAGGATTTTTGTAGAACTATTTTGCAGCGTAGGATTATTAATGCACCTATACCATTGCACGATATTTTAGATCGCAGAATCTCCTGTCTGCACTTCATAAATTGGATTAACTTCAATGTTCCCTTTCACTCTATTTTACGTACCTTGTTTTATGTCCCGAATCGATAGCAACAACATTGTTAGTAGAATTCGTAGTATACCGAATAAATACACCGACCAAACACTTTATCTCGGTCTAAAAAGAAAGTGCAAGAAAATCATAATTATGAGTCAATTTAACGTATAAAGATTAATGTTCTTGATAGTCCTTTTATTTAAAACATGAATTGTATTGTGACGTTATTAATAATTGTGTAATATGGATAAAGAAAATTCTATGTTGTTTATTTTTGAAATATTTGAAAAATTCAGAAGAAATACGTTTCACTAATTTACACTAATAATAATAATGTCGTTTGCGTATTAAAAAATAATGTCATTTCAATATCATAATGTCATTTGTATATAAGCAAGCAGTCAATTATTTATCGATAAAAACGATGTCCAACGATTATTTTCATTTTTTTTTTCAAACAATGTCAGTACTATTCATGTTGTTCTTCTAAGTTGCGTTAATAATAATCAATGTTTACGTATTAAAAAATGCCATTTCAACATGGTAACGTCATTTGTTCATAAATAAAAAATCGATTATTTATCGATAAAAACGATGTCCAACGATTATTTTCAATTTTTTCTTTTCAGATGATGTCAGTACTACCCGTGCTGTTCCTCTTCAGCAGCGTGTCAGCGCAATGCCTGACGGCAAACGATAGCCCGATGACGGGGAATCCCGCAGCAAAGACCGCTCTGCCAGCCGCGGACTTTCACTTTGCCCTGGACACCCTGAAGAAGATGGTGACAATCGAGCCCAAAGACAACGTCTTCTACAGTCCCCATAGTCTCCACCAAGCGTTGAGTTTGGTGTATTTCGGCGCCCGTGGCAACACCGAGGAGTCATTGAAGAAGGTTCTGCACCTGCAGAATCTGTCTAAGGTCGACGTGCAGCGATACTACGCGTTCGACAACTTGAACAGACTTGCCGCTCAGGTGAGGAGGTTTCCAGGAGATGTCGCGATTGCATCATTGTCGTGTGAGCTAACAAGTATTCCAAGGCAAGCCGGGTAATCAGTATTAAGCCCGGATGTGTCCGAGCGTTTCAACGTGTTTGCTCGGGACTGATGTCCGTGTGGCTTTTGGTATCCGGTCCCCTTGTCCTTGGCAGGTTGTACCTCTCGTTTAGATCACAAATTTCAATGAAATTGCTAGAATTTTCAATCAACTTTGAAGGGACTAGAATTTTTGTGTACTCGTGGTATATCGAGCTTTAGGTCTTTGTCGAATTTTTAACTCTATTGAGTCGACTGGCAAGTAAACACTCATCAAAGCTAATATGTTGAAGCAATGTTCTTAACCTCTTGCTCTGTGATTTATTTCTCAATTACGCTCAACAGATATTTTATTATTCATAATTGATTGGAATAACAGGAAAATTTTACATTTGTTCTGTGTCCACGTTCATCCACAAGTATTTAAATTAATAATAGGAGAATAATATTCAATTCGGACTTCGAAGAATTAAGTGACATTTGAAATTTTCAGATAAAATTACTTATCCAAGTTTACTCGTATACTCTGAATTGATTTTTCGACTTTTCCAATAACGATTATAGGATTAATTATAAGATATGTCAAAAATTTAATTGGGGAGAAATGATTAAACTGAGAAAATCATTTTAAGCGAAAATTTCGAAAGATATTTTTTTACAGGTTCGGTAGAAATAATGTCAATTTTGTACAAAAATTAAGCCTGAAGAGATTGAGAAAGAAAGAAATTATATTAAATGAAATTTTCTATCTTTTGTGTAGGAGAATGGGTCAACCGATTACGAGTATGAGTCGCTGAATCGATTGTGGATCTCAGACACGAGGAAAGTACGCGAATGCATGCTGGACTTCTTCAGCGATAGTCTGGAGAAAACTGATTTCCATACTAACCCGGAGGGTGTACGCGAAAACATTAACCAGTGGGTCAGCAACGTGACGAGGGGACACATTCGGGACCTCCTCCCTGCAGGCAGCATATCGGTGGACACCGATCTCGTTCTAGCGAATGCTGTTTACTTCAAAGGACTTTGGCGAAGCCGCTTCGACCCTGCCAATTCGAAAAAGGATCTGTTCTACAGTTCTGGATCGCAGAATTCTGTGGTTACATTTATGCACCAGAAAGGAACTTTCAATCACTGTAAGAATTGAAACTGAATTTTTTTCAATTTTCCCTTTAGTAATTCTCCAATTTTTAGTGGTTTATTTGAAATCTACTTTAAAGAGCAGTTAGTCGACCAGACGCAGCATAAACAATTTCTTTACGAACAATATTAAAAATTGTATAATACAATTGAAGGGTTTGTTGCAAGAACAAGGCAGCTTCACTTTTAGGTTATTTTAGTACAACAATAAAAATCAATTAAAAATCTGATACTCCTGCAAACGTGTTGTAAGTTTATGGCCAACTGATATTTTTGTTAACCACCTGATTTCTTTTTTTACCATATGAGAAATCATAGTTTTATACCTAAAATTACATATTTACTAAGAAAATGTTAGAAATGGAGTTGCCTCCTTGCAATAAATAAAATTGATGTCGAGTTTTCTGTTCCAAACTTTCCTATTCAAATAACTACAACTTTCTATGTTACCATAAAAACAACACAGCGTTTACACGATTAATACGAAATCGTTATAAAAATGGTAAAAATAGATATTTTTCGATTTCTTCATATATTAATTATAGTATTAAAATGAAACTATTTATCTTCCAAATCATTTCGAATATTTAACGTTCTTAATATATCAATAATTGCGAAACAAGAAAACTGAAACCCGTCATTCTAACGGCTGCAGTTGTTCAAATGTTAATACTAAAACTACCAGACGAGTCAAAATAACCCATTCCTGAGTTCTGCTTTTTGGAATTATTAAAATGATAACAGGTGTCTCTAGCAGATTATTAAAGAAATTGATTTAGCAATACGCAAACTGAATTGTAAATCAATTAAAGTCCCAATAGATGCACTCTTGGAATTTCTACAGAGAACTTTCAAAAAGTCAATTTAACTGCTCTGTAGTTTTAGCGTTAAATGTGACATATAAACTTCTACGTCCCAATAATTTTCCCAACAACTTGATCTTACCATCTCTCAACGCAAACTCAATGCTCCACAGTGATCTCCGAGCTGCTCGGCGCGCACATCCTCGAGCTGCCCTACAAGGGTGAGAATATCTCGATGTTCGTCTTATTACCGCCATTCGCCACTGCCAGATCGGCAAACAGCGACGATCATGACGGGGTGCGTCAAATGATCGAACACATCTCCACCGAGGAGGGAGCTGCTGAACTCCAGGACATCCTGCACTATGGCGTGCCGCCTCGCGATGTCGAGGTCTACCTGCCAAAATTTACCATGGAGAAGGAACTTCCAGTGCACACGTTGTTAAGCGCGTTGGGAGCTGGACATCTGGTGACGCCAAATATGGCGGATCTCCGAGGTTTCCTTGAAGAAGGCGAGAGACCTTTGCACTTAGGCGACGCCGTGCATCGTGCGCGCATTGAAGTCACCGAGGAAGGAACCACTGCTGCAGCAGCGACAGCCCTATTCACGTTCCGCTCGGGCAGGCCGCTGCAACCCGCGGTCTTCAACGCGAACCACCCCTTCGTCTACTTGATTTTCGACAAGCAAAGGAACTCGATTCTGTTCAGCGGTATCTACCGGTCACCCAACCTGCCAAAGAACACGGCGGAGACGTCCGCTTGAAGGACACCCGTCAAGTGATCCCCCGTTGTTCCTTGTTCGTTTGTTTTTGCGTGGACCTATTTAAACTTCGTCTCTTAGAAGTTGGCCAACTAAGGTACAGTTGGAAGATGACTTGGTTAAATTCATATTCATACTTTAAGGTTAACACGTTGACTGCCACGGTGGTCATCGGAGCTCCAAAATTACAAGGAAATAATTATAGCTTGTAAGATAACTGATGTCGAATAGAAACGGTCAGTAGCGCGAATAAGTGTAACGTAAGAATCGTGATATCAAATAATTAATAATTCTTCTTTTTTGTCTTTGCTGTGGAAAGAGTAAATGATACGTAAAACGTTGGTGTTTTTCTTGGCAGTCCACGTGTTAATAAGATATAAAAATTCATTACGGTATGTACTTGTGAAACATTCGAACTTTACATGGTAGTCGGCCAACTTCTCAGAAGCTTATCATAAGTGACTAGTTTTATACTGTTTTCTTTGCTTTGCAATGCTGGGTTTACATTAGTCCAGTCGCTGCGTTAAGCGATTTCATTTCGGTGGTTTGATTGGAAATAGATGAATGTCTGAATTATTTCAGTTTCTTTCGGAAAATGCAACCACATGTACTCTATGTGGCTGATGAGGTGTCTTCAGATGTTTTGTTTATAATTTTGATTGGTTACCGTGTGGTTATACTGATGAATATCATATTAATATCGAAAATACATGCGAGAACATACAGAGATGAGAATTGATTAATTAGACTTGTATTTTTTTTAACTATCTCATTTACCACGTTGAATATACTGTGCTGCTTCAGCCAGCATTGGATTCAGCTAATTGTATTATTTAAACGTTTTCAGTAATGACAGCATTGAAAAAGTAGATTTTTGATCTAGTCACTGGACTGGAGTGCTACTGGACTAATATAAACTGAGCTTAAACGTTGATAAGAGATATGTTATATCGACGAGTAATTGCATTTTTATTATCGATGCGCGGTTTTAGACATAATTTTGTTTATTGATCGAAAATCAGATGCTAAATTCGGAATATTTTGAATATTTCTGAGAGTAATTCGGTATGATTGGTATGTTGTGTGAAGCGGTTAAATGATAGTTCGTTCTTTTTGGGAATTTGTGCTTGTGAAAGGTTTGACTGCTATTTGCTTGCTGCGTTATTGTTGAGATTTCTGTTAGTTCGTGGTATGCTGGTACTATGCTATCAGGTTTCCACTCGAAAAGCGAATGATTTGTGGGAGACGAGAAGGAAGTTCTTTGTTTACGTTTTGTTTACGATCGTTTTTTTTCAAAAAGGCAAAATGTAAATTTGAAATTTTTTAGACATCGTATGTCCTACGTTGTCTCGTAAAACAATTTTTCGCTTTCTATTTGTACCTACTATGTTTTGTTTGTGTGAGTGTGTATTATTAAGAACTTCTGAATTGACTATAATGATGGATTTTGTTTTGGCAAGGCAAGTATGGATGCAGTATGGCGTCGTTTTCTGTCTTCAACACATTTCCTCGTGTATAATTAAATTTGATTAAAGTGATTCGTGATTTTCAAATGTACATGTATGCGAGCGAAACGATCTTTCTTAATGGAGATTTATTTATTGATCACGGAGAAACTACATGAATCTGTATCGTGCAAATTAAAGACAAAAAATAAAAGTAACGATGGAGGATCGAAGGAGGATTTAAATATTTTTATTCTCGTCCTCATTCTTATTTTTATGTTCAGTTACTGTTGACTAACAGAAGTTAATTATTGCGACGTTTTTAGTAGTAGAATCTGGAGTATGAGTATTCCACAATAAGTATCGAAATAGTCCATTCCATATTTTTAATTGTATTATTGACGTTTAATGAAGTCTGTATTAAAACAGGAAATTGAAATTATTAAAGAATTTTAATATTAAGAAAATCAATATTGGAATAAAACAAGGTAAATGAAGCTGTGATATTAGAAATTTGATTACTATAGGATAAATTGATAAAATTGAGAAATTGATAGAAATATGAAATATTTGATGGGTATCAATATGAAACAATTTCATGTTACCAGCATATTTTAAAACTGAATATTAAAGGAAATTTTGGTAATTTTTGCAGATTATTAAAAAAGTTTAGCAAAGGAAAGAAATAATATTTTGAAAATGGAAGTAAAATTCTTTAGAATGGCTGCTACCACTAACAATAAACAACTTATTAATTAATTTTAATGTAGTTTTATTATTTACTTTCCTCAAAAGTCATACTATCTCACATTACTATCCGAATTTCTGTTAACACCAAGAATACGTTTCGCGATGAAACGTTGAATTTTTACGGTCCAGAGTAAATCTAAACATACGAAGAGCTTAGAATGTTTTGTTATATTAGTACATTATTAACAATAAGCAGTACTAACAAATGTAACTGTGAAATTAAATCGTAGGTCAAAGGGTTAAATGCTCGGTAGTTTTAATGTTAATACGTATGTTACCAACGTCACATATTTGTGATTACTATAATCCTGTATTTTACATAACGGAAATGAAATTAAACCTACAAATATTGTTATTTAAAATTAGAATCTGTGACATTATATTTAGGAACTCTATGATCCGTTTTAATTTTATTTTCTCAATGTTTGATTTAGAAGATTCGTTGTCAATGTGACTCATATTGACTTTTATATAAATATTATTTAGCAAATGTTTAGGTCGATTTTGATTGATTCAGATACACAAATATGTATTCTAATTGTCTACTTTCAAATGTCTAACATCTAAATGAACAAACATCAATTTCTCTAAAAGCAAACGAATAAACTATACAGCAAATATCCATAAATCTAGTGTTAACACGTTGACTGCAATAACGGTTACCGGGAGTTTCAAGATGACAAGAAAATAATTATAATTTGTAAGATAATTGATACCAAATAGAAATCTTCATAGCGTAAATAACTAGATAATAGTGTAACATAGGAATTGTGATACGAAATAATGAATAATTCTTCCCTTTCATTTTTGATAGGACAAGAATAAGCGATAGATAAAACGCTGTTGTTTTCCATGGCAGTCAACGTATTAATTTTTTGCAGACGAGAATATTTTGAGGGTTGAAAACGTTTCACAGGGGAAGTTAAATTGTAGACCGAAGTCTTTGCAGGAAAAAAAGAAAATTAATCACCGATCTCTTGTTATTTGAACAAATCAACTGTTCACAACTTCGTATTCTAAATATGAAAGCTTGACGTTGCCAAAGTGACGATATTCGTCCTCGAAGGGGTAACCCTTTGCCATATGGTTTCTTTCTGAACTGTAATCAGTCTAACTACTTGGTTATTCATAATTTATTGAAAATAAGGGAAAATTTCAGTCTTATTCTATATCAACATGTACTCTAAGGTATAATCATTAGTAACAGAGGAATAATATGTAATTGTCACTTAAACAAATTGAATAATATTTAAGTTTGTCAAATTCCAGTTGAAATCTTCACGATGAGTCTGACACGATATTGTAGGACGACTGATTAAACCCCTTCTCCTATAATATCGTATCAGACTCGCGACGAAAATTTCAAACTGAATTTGAGTGAAATCTAAGTGTTATTTATATTTTTTAAATCTAAACTAAATATGACTTTTCTATTACTAATCATGAACCTTCGAAGTAAACGTGGAAATAGAATAAGCATAAAAACAGTGCCTTTCCCTAATAAATTATTCACGATAAAGTAGTTGCACCAGTCATAGCTAAGAAATAAATCGTAGGGCAAAGGGTTAATATACCCGAATTGGCAAACAGCGCGTTGATCGACGAACAATAAATCAACCATGCCCAGCAAGTTGCGCCTCCAAACGGCCGCGATCGGAACCATAGCTCCGTTTGCCTGTGGCTCCCATTCACTGGCGATCTGACGTCATTGGAGGCTGCCGAGGTCCCGGTAAACGCGCGGCGGAGGCAACCGTTAGCCGGTAGCGTCCGCAGAACCCGATCCTCCGGCAGAATCTGGCATCTGGTTGCGTCACGCGCCGATACAAGCGAACGGGCACACGGACGCGGCGTGCACGGCCTGTGAACGGGTTCCCCGTTTGCCTGCACCCAACACCGCACCGGCTCGGATCATCCGAGTCGAGTCCCCCGGTGTGTCTGGCAGTCCTTGACGCAGGCCTCGATCCCGGCGAAAGATGAGCAAACCCAAGATCCGTGAGAGATTCGACGTGCTTCCTCGAACCCGACCAACCAGTCCGATCGTTTCTCGAACGGTATTGCGCCTGCCGCGGAATCTTCCTCCGCCGATCGCGCGCGCGATCGATCGATCGATCGCCGAGCGCGTCTGCCATGTTCTGCTTCTTTTCGTCCTCTAGTCGACAGCCGCGGAACATCGAGGTTTTCACGCTGTCGAGGAAGCCGCGACCGAAGGTCATCTCCGGTGATCGCATCGACGATCGATCGGGTTTACTTGTACCCACGACCCCTTATCCTTGTCTAGGGATACGAAGAGTTGTCCCTCGTTACGTTTGATGTCCCGTTCAAGCGATTTGAATTTACAGTGGAACCCCCTTTATAGGGGATTCAAATATTTCGTGTCACAGGCTTTCATTTGTAGTTTGGTGTGAGATTCTTATTTTGGATAGTGGTCCAACTTGTATTAACACTGAAATTACCAGACGGGTCAAAATGACCAATTCCTGACTTCCTTATTTTGAAATTATTAAAAAGATAACAGGTGTTTCTCTGAGGAATTATTAAAGAAATTGATTTAGCAATACGCGAACTGGATTATAAAATAATTAAAGTCTCAATGGATGCACTCTTGAAGTTTCTATAGAGGAGTTTCAAAAAGTTATTTAACCGCTCGCTAGTTTAAGTGTTAAGATAGGGCCGTCTGTCTGTAGCAGTTTCTTGTTGGACATATTACTTTTGTAATCATTTCTCGATGATTTTTTAAATCGTGTCATAAGAGGTTCCATTGTAGGTCTAACGAAAAGTTCTGTCCGTTTTTTGATTAAAAGGATATAATACATTTATTAATATTTACTGTACGATAGAATTTTTATCGTTCCTACTAACCTCTTCTCAAAGTGATGATAATTTGTGGATTCCATTTCTGTAGAATCATTCATCTTTGGAAACTTAGGACGACATTATTGCACAGAATTTTCAGGTAGATTTAATATTTGTTTGTCGAGAATGTTTTTAGCGAGATTTTTACGAATTGGTGACATTTTTAATGGTGTAGAGCCTGTCTGTAATTCACTTATGTGAATTAGATTCCAGGTAGTTCGATATTGTAGTGATATTAAGTAGATATTATAATTACAGTATATAATTAATAATTACATAGTATTAAAAATATTGCGCTTTTCTTTTACAGCATTTCTTAGTTTTATTTATTAATAACCTACAAATTAGCTATTTGTTCGATATAGTACGCGGCAACAGCGCGGCATATTCCGCTTCCATTGTCCTTGTATTATGGAAATTGCATTTTCTCGGCAGAAAAGATGTAATGATTCTCCTGAGCTCCTCTTTTGTTGTTTCACTGTACTCATATGCATAATGGTGATGATGCGACAAACTTAAGGTAACACTGATTCAACTGATGGGAAAACAGAATCTTGCAACAATATATATTAGTGTCGCGTCCATTTTAGTTAAGAAATACCTATACAAAGCGTAAACGAAATTGTCAATAACATGAATTGAAATATTCATTAAAATTGTAATTTTTTAGTTACAAAAGTGTAAACATCTCATTCGCAACGCGACATAGAAAAATTTCAGTTTTTCATATTTACTATTTTACACCTGAAAAAACTGATATAAACTTCGTTTATAATATATCTTCTGCTGTTTTTTAATTGCCTTATGTATTCATCTACAAATCCTTTTATTACATTGTCATAAAATTCACAGAAAATGAAATTGTAATAGCATTTATTATAATTTAAACTTTAGTTCTTAAGTATCGAGTCTCTTCTTTCACAATTATTGAAAAGGAACAGATGATTTTTAGAGAAATTGCTAAATAAATTGACTTAGACAAACCCAAGCTAGAATACATGCAAACTGATCATTTACTTTTCATCCATATACACTGCCGGTTAAAAGTTTGGCTCCAATCCATCGGATAGAAGAAAAATATCCATGTTTTGTAGACAACTTTTATTGTAGAGCTTTTGTGTATGATAAAAAAACATGGTCATGCGTGTATTAGTCAAATATAAAAACGTATAATTTTTATTTTATTCCACATATTTATAAGATATACAATTTTTAATTTATGACGTTACATATCAAGTGGTCCCAAACTTTTGATCGGCAGTATATCATATTGTCAATAATTACAGTAGCTAAAAATGAAAATTCTCTACGCTACGCAACATTGATAAATAGTATCTAAGGAGTCCACGCTCTTTTCAGAATGATACCCAGAAAACCAAGTCGACTTTTCTTCTAACCGCTCGCTTCCTCTCGATTTATAATTAGAAATACCCGAGCGCAAAATAGACGGCGACTCAAGAACACGAAGATTGATCACGAAGAACGTTCATGTGTGCTTCTTACTTTAACGTTACTCGCGCGCCGGGTAACACAAGATTAGGAACAGATTTTATTTACTCGTCGTGTCGGCTACGTTTCCAGCTACACCGTGAACGCGCGTGACATCATTCCCCTTAGTTTTTGCTCGATA